AATAAATATGTGTATATATTATTATTAAGTATATTTATTATTATTTGTTTTATATGAATACATTTTACCTCTGAACTTTTGGTGATATTAGGTTGATTCACGCTATGCAGAAACTTGGCCATTGATTCATATGCGAACCAGTCAGGTTTGTAGATGTCATCCAAACCCGAACCAGTTTTTTTACTAGCTTTAACTTTGTTATGGAGTTTCCTGAATGTGGCCATCAATGAATCCTTTTTCTTCTTTAGGTCACTGATAGAATATTGTACACTGAGATTTGGTGAAATATTTTTCCACGAATCATGTACGGAATTTCGAACTTTGTGTAGCGGGTTTCGGGTTCCAAATGCAATGCCCTTGTTCATTTAGTTCAAGAGAGCCCAAGATCAATTCATTTGACCACTCCATGTTTTTTGAAAATAAATAAATATAATATAAAATAAAAATGAAAATGCACACGAGCCGGGAACGCGTTGAACCGATTCCACGAGCCGAGCAACGAGCGCGAATGGTTTAATTTGACTCGGGTATCAAAACCCGACCATTTTTCCTACAGATATAACATTGAATATATAACCTAACCAAAAAAAACAACCTATGTTTAATCATTTTTTAATAAATTTAATTTAAATATTTTTAGGAGTTGAATCAATTCATAATTGTGAAGATAAGTAGTATGTATTTGTATGTTCACAGTTCGTTTTTCCACTTTAATTTTTTTTGTTCAAGGAGGAATGTTCACCTCAGACGACTCAGAATTACCGTATCACACAATACGGTAATTTCACACTCAGTGTCCACCTATTTACCACTCACATGAAAATATTTACCGTGTACACATTTTTTTTTTTTTCATGAAACGTTACTAAATTAATATTTCAAGTAAAAAAACAAATTATCAAATAAATTTTTTTTTTATTGTTATAAATCAATATTATATTTACACGAGTTTTCTTACTTCTCTAGTAAAAGGTACATATTCTACGATACGATCATGAATTAAAAAACAATAAGCAGTTACACCTGTAAAGGATTCTGATGCCTCAATTTCCAATTGAACATCCACTGCTGAGGCTGTAGCTGAATCATTCTGTTTTGAAGTATCGATAACTAATCGGGGCGTTTGATAGAAAAGTGGAAGGACTCAATATCGGGTTCCGTATATTTTTTTCATAGTACGATTCTTGAAAAGATGTATACATATCATATAATAAGGTAAAATTATATTTTGCAAAATCAAAATTTAAATTATCATACGGATAAGCTATCGAGTTTAGAAATAATTTAACGTTTGTTAGATTACAATGATCAAATATACTACTATCTTTTGAAAACGAATTTTTGCGTCCCTACTGCAATCCAATTATTATAAATCCTGGTTTTTCTAATTTTGAAGCAGTTTTCAAGTTCCATACAACTTTTTTAGTAGTCCCGAGTTCAGGATATTCAAAAGTTTCAAAATATCTAAAAGGTATAAACAAACCGAACCGATCACTGTAATTATTTTACCTTTTTATATACTCATGTTAAAATATATTGTTTAAACAACGATACGTACGTTTAATTTTATTTTTATTATACCTTCTGATCCCAGGAGAATTAGTAGTGTTCTGCCGGCACCCGTATCACGTAACGATCACCGCCGCCTTTGGCAGTACCGGTAGACACCACAGTTTGTTAGATTACAATGATCATGACTAAGGCCCGGCGCACATCAATGCAGTGCGGTTGCGGCGCGTTCGCAGCGCACTGCATGCAGTGCCGCATTTAAAATAGAACACACGTTATCTTATGGAAATGCCCACACCGATGCGGCGGTGGTGCAGTGACATTGTGTATGCGGCGCGCTGCTTGCAGTGAGACATGGCGGTTTTTTGTTGCAGTGCGCGTGCGGCGAAAAGTCAAAATATAAATAATTATCGATATTTTACTTTATTTTACTTTGTTTTTGCTGCGGCACAGCATACGCAGAGAAAAAATAATTCGTAAGTATTTATTTATTTAATTTATCCAAATAATATTATATAAATAATGAGGTATCATAAATTTGTAATATCAACTTGGTAAGTAGTAATAAGGTACCAATAAACATTGTATCGGGAAATCCAGCCGTTCGTCGTTCTATGAAACTGGTCATAACTGGTTCTATGATACTAGTTATCTCATAGGTTTGTGGTTAATAGTTTTATATTTTTGTTTGTATACCTAGTTGGGCTAATTCTATTTCCTCCTTTCAATTCGTGATGTCGAGTAGGTACTGTAGTACTAAATAGACGTGTAGATACACTATTCACTAATCTCTAGTATATTATAATAGTCAGTACTCAGTTCAATACACAGTACCTACCTATTTATAGTTGGAATAATTACCAAAATTTTGTACGATGACTGAAGAAACACTTACCATTAAACTTGTTCAAGAGATAGAGAAACATGATTGTCTGTATGATTATTAAAAAAAATCATATAGCAATGATCGAGCCAAAACAAGTACTTGGGATACCATATCAAAAACTGTCAATATTTCAGGTGAAAAGTTATTCTATTACAATAATATGGTAATTTTTATTATTATTATTAATAGAGTTTGTGTTTGCTATAAGGCAAGTGGTAATATTGTTATGATTAAAAGTAGGTAGAGAATTTTTTTTTAATTTTTCAAATCAACACAACAGTTAATTTTCTTATTAATTTGATAACAAGGTATTTACAAAATTCTAAAGTAACTACCTAATAACTAATAAGTAGGGCCCGGAAGTTCATGCATTATTATATTTTATTAATTTATCATTCAACTTTAGAATAGAACAAAATCAATGTAACTATAATCCTCTATAATCCTAACAGGCTTTCAAAGCAAGAAGACATTTAAATATGTCGAACAATCCATGTAGATATACAATTATTCAGATAGATTGCACTTATAACATGTTTTAATATTGTAAAATCAAAAAGTTAACAAAATAATTTATGAAAAGTTTTCTTGCCATGGAACTTGGCCCTCATCCGACACAAAATATTCACATAACAAATCTCGATAACATTCTGCAGCTCTTGTTGGTCGTATTCCTTAATTGTGAATATTTTGATATCCCATGGCATCAATACTTGATGGGTGTGATGGTGTTGAAAATAAACCTTCTCTCGTGCGCACAAAATTGTGTAAAACACATGCAGCATTTATAAGTGATTCTGCAGTTTCTATCTTGCAACCTATTGGTTGTTCAAAAAGCCTAAATTTCGATACTAGCATACCAAAACTGCATTCTACGCTTCTTCTTGTTCTAGAACATCTGTTTAAAAAAACATAATTTTCAATGATAAAGTTGAATGTTTCATCAAATGAAAAAAGTGATTATAATTTTGATGTGCTTACCTATAATTATAAATGCGTCTCTCCTCATTTAATGACCTTTTAGGAAATGGTCTCATAAGGGTTTTTTTTCAAGGGAAAAGCTTCATCTGCAACAAAGTAGTGTGGAAAATTGCCCTTATTTTCCCATCCGGGTAATGGTCTAGGTTATTTGCAAATCATTGAACCATTTACAGCAACTAGATCTCAAACAGGAAATTTACAAACAATACAAGGACATGGACATTTTGATGATGAATCAGAAAGTGATGAGGCACATGAAGATGAAATCGATACTTTTAAGTCATATTCTGAAAGTTCCAAAAACCCCATTCAGAGTATTCCCAAGAACAGTCATGTAAAAAAAAATTAATACATCATCAATAGATGAGTCGAATAAAGTAGTTACTGATTACTTCAGTAATAAAAAAAAAGCACAGGTCAAGACTGATGACAATGATCCAGATATGGACTTTTTAAAAAGTCTCTTACCTGATATAAAACTGTTGAATCCACGTGCAAAAATAATTTTAAATATTGATATGATGAAACTAGTAAATTATGCGAATGATAAAATGCTAGAGAATCAACTACATCAACAACCAGAAACAGTTGATCCAACCCCTTAATAATAATCAAACTGAAAATTTCAAATATCATCACCAAGAAACCAGACAAGGAACTATAAATACTCCTTTTGACATCAACAATCCTCAGAATCAGCAATCATACCAAGTATTAGAAATTCTCCATATTGGAGACCATTGTAATTCTTTACATTAATATTACCTACCAATTAAAGTTTGTTAACATATTATGTTAAGCAGTTGAAATATTGTATTTCTCTTCTAGTTATTTTGTTTATAAGTTTTCTTTAACAGAAGTAAATTAAGATTATAATATACTGATAAATATTTAATTATTTTACCTAAGTAATACCTACTTAGTTTTTTAAATATATTGATTTATTAAATGGATTATATTATGATCAGTATCCTCAATATCATTATTCATTACCTAGTTATTAAATAATGCAGTATATTAAGTCGCTCAATGTTTTTGTATCCCATATGGCTATGTTGATAAAATATATAATATTATATAAGTATATATTATAAATATATACATTTAGTTATGTAGGTAACATTATAATTACTATGTATATAATTTTTTTTTTGCTTTGCTCACCAAGTACATTAATAAAATAATACAAAATAACCATTGTACATTTTGAACATTGTTATAAATTTATAATATAACATAATATAATATAAAAGGTAATTGGTTTCTGAAATAATCTTTGTACTTACCTAAGTGTAATTAACAGTCGCTCTTCCACTGATATAACTAATCGAAAATTTGTATCTCTTTTTTCTAAATTCGACCTCACAAAGTCTGAAAGAATTTTGAAAGATCCTTGTGACATTCGGTAAAAATCTTTAAATTTTCTGGGTACATTGAAAGTTCACTTGAGACTGAAAATGTACCTAATGTAGGTGCATTATTTCTTATGAAAGGACCCAATATTTACGTTTATTTTTTTTTTTATTTAAGTTGTTTACTAATGGAAGCATGATAAAATATTTATTATATCCTGATTAGAATATTCGCGCCCCGCCGCGCCGCCACCGCACTGCACCGGTGTGCTTTAATCAGTGTTGCCAGGTCTGGGGATTAATCCCCAATCTGGAGATTTTACTGGTGTTTGAGGCAAATGTTGAGGATTTCTATAAACTGAGGATTTTCTGGTGAATTTGATTAATAAGGTGTAAAAATTCTTTTTTTTAGTAAATTTTTTTAAATGTACATCAATATATTTATTATTATTGTTATATTTATATTATTAGTATCGTTAGTGGCTCAATTAATTATTACTAGATAAGTATTCTGTGCTTACCAGTAACCACGATCTTTAATCGTATATTATGTGATACAATAATACTGTGATACGTTTGTTCTTTGGTGATACCATAGATCAGGGGTGGCGAACCTTTTTTGGGTCAAGTGCCAAAATTTAAAATCAAGTTTTTTGAAATATGCTCGCGTGCCAAAAAAAAAAAAATTTTTTCTAGGTAAGATGAAAAGAAAAAGCATGTAATAATTACACCCATTTTATTAGGTATATAATTTAATAAATAAATAGTATATATGTAAAGTTTTATTTCATTTATTAATGTGATTTCTGTTGTTGTTTTTTAGAAGATAACATTTTAATATCTGGAGTATAGTTGGTAGTTTTCAGTGAAACACAAGCAGCACTAGTTTCATCGATTAATGTATTTCTCTGCTTCGTTTTTATTAAATTCATTATGGAGAATAAACTTTCACAAGCATAAGTTGACGAAAAAATTGATAGGATAGATCGAGCAACTTTTTTTAATGTATTAAATGTGTTTGGAAGCGAGTTCCAGACTTTAAGAATTTCATTATCTGCATTTTTTACCGCGTTTGCTTGAAGACGGTTGATTTCTATTTCTTCGATTAGTTGTCTTAAGTCAATGAATTTTTGTTTCCACGTATTACAGGATTGAAGATCAATTAACTCAAATTCAAATGTATCTATATTCATCCATTCAAAATAATGTAAATCTAATTCATCGAAATTGCAAGTATCAGGGCATTTGAGGAACTTAATATTACACTCAAACTTTTTAAAATCTATAAACCTGTTATTGAACTGCTGAATTGTTTCCTTTATGATACTTAAAAATTTTTTTATATTTTCATCTAATTTAGGAGTCTCGTTGATTTCAATTTCACTCAAGAATTTGTTTAAATGTTGAAAATATTTAAATTTATGATTTTCTATATCACGTATAAATACATTTAATTTTGTTTCAAAGCTTTTTATTAAACTAAACATGAACTCTAAATTTTTTCCGGTACCTTGCAATTTTAAATTGAGTTCATTTAAATGCAAACAAAAATCAGTAAAAAACATTAAATTGCACAACCAATTTATATCTGTTAATTCAGTATAATTTTTTTGGTTTTCACTCAAAAATAAACGAATTTCGTGTAAACATTCTACAAATCGTTCTAAAAGGTTGCCTCTACTAAGCCAACGAACATTATTGTACATCACGAGTCCTTTATGAATAGAATTTACTTCTTCTAATAATAAACTGAATTGCCTTTTATTTAATGCTCGGGCGTTTATAAAGTTTACAATTTTTGTTACAAGCTTTAAAATATTTTCATACTGCAATAGTCCATCCTTAGCACACAACGCTTCCTGATGAATTATACAATGAAAACCAATTAAAGGATGTCCAATTTTCTTTGAAAAAAGGTTAACAAAACCACGGTCTTTTCCAATCATACAAGGGGCGCCATCGGTAGTTACTGATATAATTTTAGATAAATTTAATCCAATATCTTCAAGGACATTTACAACAACTTCACATATATTTTCACCAGTAGTTTTAGCTGGTATAGATGCTAATTTTATAAGTTCTTCACGAACTTCATCGTTAATACAGAAACGAGAAATTATTGAAAGACGCGCAGACGATGTTATATCTGTACTCTCATCGATGCAAATAGAAAAAAATGAACTTTGATTTAAATCGTGTATTAATTGATTTTCAATATTAGAATTCATACTTAGTATTCTCTCTTTAATAGTATTTCTACTGATTGACAAGTCTTTAATACGTTGTATAATTGCATCTTTATTATCAAAGTCTTGAAAAAGGTTATCAGCGCAATCTAACCAAGACATTTTAATAAAATCTCCATCACTAAACGGTTTTCCCCGAATAGCGATAGACTTTGCAACATCAAAACTGGCAGACACTAAATTATCAGATTTTTTAACAAATTTAATTAATTTATCACTCTGTGCATCTTTATTTGATAGTGCACGTGAAATAAAACATTTTAGTTCATCGGCAGATTTTGTTAATAGTGTTTTATGAATAGTTTCAAAATGACGTTTGACAGATGAAGTCCGACATACAACACTTTCTGAACACAGTACACATAACGCTTTATTATTTTTGAATATCATACCATATTTGAATGTCCACCATTCTTGAAAGTTTCGACTCGTTGATTCTTCAGAACATTTCATTTTTTTTGAAAGTGACATATTAATAAAATACTCGTATTTATTTATCAATAATCACGATAGTTGACGACGGCCGACGGGTAACTAAATTAAAAGTTCGTTTGAACGGCTGACTAAGTGCAATTGTTGTTATCGCAACCGGTCGCGGTATCGGTAAATTTAAAATAAACTTCGTAATCGAATGTTGGGTACTTTGTACTTCTATCGTAGCGATATGAGTACAAAAACCATAAATATTATTTATTATAACATTTATAAACACATTTTATTACAAACTTATAAATTTGATTCTTAAAATTTCTCATAATAAAGTTTTTAAAATATAATTTTTTTTTTAAGATAAATAATATTTGCGTGCCACTGAAATTTAGTCAACGTGCCACTTCTGGCACGCGTGCCATAGGTTCGCCACCCCTGCCATAGATAATAAAGATATCTTTATTATCTCTGGGTGATACCTAACTCTATATGATAACATATTATTTATTTATTTATAAACTACTAACTACTTTAGTACTAAACTAGTGTCAATGGTTAACCAAGTGTTTTATTTAATTTTTTTAATTTAATTTTTTAAACCTTAAAAAAATATATATTCTAATGATTCTGATACTGACGGAAGCCAACAAAATCGATCAAAATTTGGGGCAAAAAAAACCGTATTCCCACAAAAATTTTCGTTTATGGCTTGCGCCTAGCAAAAAATCTCCACTTCATTTTCATTGCAAATTTTGCAATGATGATAATAAAGGTGGTAAATCTACGGTCCATAAACATATGAACACTTCTAAGCATCAACGGGCAGCAAAGTCAATGCAAAATGTGCATTCCATCCAATCACATTTCGGCAAAGCTACTACACTAGAAAAAAAACTAAAGAGGCTGAGATGAGAATTTCAATGTTTATATCAGAACACAATATTTTCTTTAGAACTTCAGACCCCCTCGTTCAATTAATCAAATCTATAGACTCAGATGCGGTAAGTAAAATATCATGTAATAGAACTAAGGCTACTGCTATTGTAAACAATGTACTTGGTGCTACAAGTTTTGAAAATCTTATTGATAAAATAACATCTCAAAAGTTTACAATGATTGATGAATCAACTGACAAATCAGCCACAAAAAAATTAGCTTTTTATTAGTTTGTTATTAGATATTGATAATTATATTATAAGAGATCAATTTTTAAGTTTGATTGAAATACGTGATGGAAGCGCTCTTGGAATATACAGTGCTATCCTCAATTTTTTCACTAAACACTCAGTGCCTTATAAAAATAATCTTGTTGGGTTTGCTGCAGATGGAGCAAGCACCATGTTTGGCAGGCACCATTCGGTGAAAACATTGTTGAAAAATGATATTCCTAATTTGTACTCTATGAAATGCATTTGTCACTCACTAGCATTAGTTGCTTCATATGCAACACAAAAAATTCCTGATGAAATAGAGAAAACGGTAAGAGAAATTTATACATATTTTATGTGCAGTTTTAAAAGGTAAACACAATATGAAGAATTTCAAAGTTTTTGTGAAATTAAACCTCATAAAATATTGAAACCATGTCAGACAAGATGGTTGTCTTTACATGTATGCATTCAAAGAATATTAGAACAACTTCAAGCACTTAAGTTATATTTTCAAAGCGAAAACAATGATAATAAAGCAAATGAAATATTCAAATATATTAACGATCCTCATTTTGAACTTTATATTAGTTTTTTAGATTTTGCTCTACCATTGTTGATCTCATTAAATATCTTATTTCAAAGTGAACAGCCTCAAATTCATAAACTGTACTCTAAAATGTCTATGACATAGAAAACTATACTGGAATGTTACATAAAACCTGATTATCTAAGAACGACTGATCTAGAAAAGGTACTCTGAACTGATAACTTTGTAAAACCTGAAGACATTTATATTGGAGGAAAATATATGGCTCTAATTAGTGACAATTCTATTTGTAAGTTATCACATGGTGACAAATCTGTATTCATCAACAACTGCTTAAACTTCTATGTAGAATGTGCACACCGACTTTTTCGAAGATTTCCTTTTCATTCAAACGAAGTCAAGTGCTTAAAATCACTAAGTTTTCTCGATCCTCGAAATATAAATAATATAATATCAATTGGACCAGCAGCTCAATATTTTGAATCAGTTTTAGAATTAAATTTAAATGATTTGGACCGTGAATGGAGATTGTTAAGAAATATTGATATTAATTTTGAATTGGAAGTAATAGAATTTTGGAGGATAGTTAATAATTTAAAAGATCCTGAAGGTAATAACTCATTTCCTTTAGTAATGAAGTTAGTTAACTTTTTAATTAAACTACCACATAGTAGTGCATGCGTTGAAAGAATTTTTTCATCCATCGATTTGAATAAAACAAAAATAAGGAACAAACTATCTATAAATTCTTTATCTGGTATATTTCATTCTAAAAACATGTTGAATATTCAACAAAAATCTTGTTATAATTCTGATATAGACAATAAAATGATGATGAAACATAATAACTCAATGTATTAAGACTGTATTATTTGTTGAAACTTATTAAAATTGTTACTATTATTATTATATTTATTATTTTGTTTGGCAACAGAAGGTGTTCGCACCGAACAATTATCGCTTCTTATCGCCCGACAGTAATAGTCGCGACGGCGATATCTTACTCCTCGTCTATCCACCACTCTGTCATGTAACTTGTTTTATATGATTGTAATTGTTATTTAATGTATGCTCTTTGTTTTGTCTTTTGTGTTATAATCATTGTTCGTTCGTTGGTCTCGCGATTATCAATGTTATTGTTTTGATTTTCGTGATATCTTTTATGCGGCCAACGCCTTATTATTATTACTACTATCATTATCTTTTTTCGTATTATTATTGGCGTCGTACTGTCTAGTTGTTACGGCCAACGCCGTTGTTGTGTAATTATTATCATTGATTTCGTATATTTTTTTTTCTCCGCTAAAGTAGTGTAAAACACACGTATTATTGTTTCTTGTATTTTTCTTTCGGTGATTTTTAGTTGTTTTGATACACTCAACACCCTACTTATTATATTATGATACTATTATGAATCTTTTACAGTCAAATTTGCGGTCAATGTGATCAGAAATTAGTATTATTATTTTGTGTTGTCATTGAGATAATACCTGTCGCCGTTATTGTCACGGCATCAGTTTACCTACTATTATTATTAAAATAAAGTCTTGGCGTTGCCATCCCATAAACCATGAGTCACGTTTCTTGTTATTATTTTTCTGTGGGGAGACTTTGGACATTATCACGTCGTTGCAACATCCGTGTTGTCCGCCAGCAACGAACGTTGTGTGAGAGGACGCCCAAGTCGCCAAAGTCACCGTCGGTTCCATTCAACCACAGCTCAAGACTTCAGTAGTTTGATACGGTGCGTCCGGTTGGACGACCCGCGTCGTGAATAAAAAGACAGTGTCGTATTCAGTAATCAATTGTTTCTATTGCTATATGTAAAATAATTATGGTTACAATTTATAGGGTCGAGGAGTAAAGTGTCGATTTGTGTCGACCAGACTTAATTAAGTGGGTCGACACAATCGGAGGCACTTGGGTGTGTGGTCGGGCTAATGCCGGACCCTATCTTTACAATATAGGAATATCACTATGCGGTTAACATACATATATTGGCTAGGGAGTCGGCCGTCGTCGGTGCAGACTTAAATCAAGCGGCACTCCGACGACGAACCTGGCTCGGGTCGGACAACTTAATTAAGTGCAGATGTAATCAGATGATGGCCCTGAAAAGGGCCCTTTTAATAATCGCGTTAGCGGGACAGCGATTGGTCAGCGGTCGGCGATGGTCTCGTCAATCTCCGATGGCTAAACGGTGTGGACTGTGGACTGCCGGGGCCGTGTCGTCGTCGGATGAGCGTTGCTGGCTGACTGGTAACGGCGATGTTATCGACGGTCGGTGCTTGAGCGACACCGTGTAGCAGCGGTTCGTCGGTCTTCGGCGGTTGGGCAATGCTAAGAGCCGTGCGGCGGCGTAGTGTTCGGTCCGCGGCGGCGGTGCGATGCTAAGTGCCGTGGGGCGGCGTAGTGAACGTTCTTCGGCGGCCGGACGTTGATAATTGCCGTGTGGAGGCGTAGTTGTCGGTTCTCGGCGGCGGGACGATGATAATTGCCGTGGAGCGGTATGGTCGTCGATCGTCGGCGGTCGGTGGTCTGGTCTTGGTCCTTCTTCTATCTTGCTGTGTTTGATAGTGATGTTAAAAAGTAGCAGTCACTGCTACTTTTCACTGTGACTGAACGAGTAGCAGTAACAGTGCCTGCTACTAATACATAAAATAACAGTGATCACAGATCACATTATCATTACTAAGTCTTGTTATCAGTTATTCAATTATCATCTAGCAAATTCACAGTGTGATAAATATTTTTCACAGTTTAGAAACCCTGTAAAGTAAATCACTTAAATACTTAATCACTATTACATATTATCACTGTTACAAGACGGTGACGTACCTCTTATAATAATATTATATAATTAAGGTATACACAATACACGTCATAATACGCAATAAACAACTTGTATAGACCATGATAGATGAAGCTAAATAGTTATAATATGAATTATAATGTCAATATTCAAATTGGTAAGTATAATAATAAATAAATAATAACTACAATATAATAGGTGTACACACTACACAATACACGTCATAAAACACAGCAAACAATTTCTTGTATATAAACAGCTAAATAATAATAATAAATTGTCAATATTCAAATTGGTAAGTATAATATAGTAAGTTGGGTTCACATTAATTGTCATAATAATAATAAATAAATAATAACTACAATATAATAGGTATACACAATACACGTCATAACACACAGAAAACAATTTCTTGTATATATAAAGCTAAATAATAATAATAAGTCAATATTCAAATTGGTAATAAATAATAATTACAGTATAACAAGTATACACAATACACGTCATGAATAATAATTTAATCTAAAATAATGATTTAATTTAAGTAAAAAAAAATTTTAAAATTTAGCACTCACTATAATATATCTTGTACAACTGACACATTTTTGTTTAAAAATATTAGTTGTTTTACTTTTTCAGTCTTCAAGTTACATCGTCGATCATTTATTATTAATCCTGTTTTAGAAAAAACTCTTTCACACGGAACCGAAGTCGCTTGGCAACAAAACATTTTCCTTACTAAAATTGATAAATTCGGAAAGTTATAAAAATTCCTTCTCCACCACTCTAACGGATCTTGTGTTCTAGGAACTAATGCCTCATCAAGGTAATTTTGTACTTCTAATATGGCTCTGGATCGATTTGTATTAATTGGTCTTGATTGGTTTACATGAACATCTAAACTACCCCAAATTGAAAATTCATTACCTTGATTTTCAACAAAAGGTTCTTGATGTTCTTGTTCGTTGTTATGGGGAGTAAGTATATTAGCTGTGTTCTTTGATCTTATATGTTGAATAATGCTAGTGAATTCATCAGTTATTTCCATTTTAATATTTTCAGAAAAGCTGGGATTTGGAGAAAATAGTATACTTTTAAAACGTGGATCTAAAAAAGTGCATTTAGCTAGTGTCTTGCTAAGGTAAATATTCCCCCAACTATTTTTATTTTTCATTGCATTTGATATGCTGTTGACTACTTCGTGTGTCCTTGAGTCGAATTCAGGTTTATTTTTCATTTTAGAGCAAACATCAGTGAGTACGTTAACGATGGGCAAAATCATTGACGCAGTCATATAAGTTTCTCCACTTACTACCTTTGTTGCTGATTCAAATGGTCTTAATACAATGCATAGCTCTTTGACAACTATCCATTCTACAGCAGTGAGGCTACTTGGAGGATTTTCAAATAAACCGAGTGATGACCGAATTGAGTTTTCAAGCAAAATAAATCGTTCCAACATATAAAAAACACTATTCCAGCGAGTGTTCACTGCTTGAATCAACTTTTTTGGATCCTTAATACCACTATTTATTTGATTTTTTTCTAATATTTTATTTGCTATTGTACTTTTCCTGAAGTGAGTAACAATAGTCTTTACTTTATTTATTAAATCTGATTCGCACTTAAGACCTTCTTCGACAACGAGATTAATAGTATGAGCGAAACATCCCAAATGTCTTATTTGTAAATTGTTAATAGCATTCTTAATATTACTTGCATTGTCTGATACCACTAGAACAAATTTTCCGTCCAACTTCCATTTTGTTATTATAGCCTTAATTTCATTGCTTAAATTTACACTGGTGTGCCTTTCAGTTATTTCAGTACACTCTATGAGCACCGATTTCAGAATAAATTCTTTATTAACAAAATGTGCCGTAACTGCTATATAACTTTCATTACACCTAGATGTCCAACAGTCAGTCGTAAGGCACACATTGTCAACTTCCTTCTCAATCAACTCTTCCACTCTAAACACACACTTTTGATATTCCAATGGAATTAATGTCTTCGAGATTGCTTGTCGAGTAGGTAATGAATAATTTGGATTTAATAAATTAACAAATTTTTTAAATCCTTAATCCTCAACTACTTTAAATGGCTGAAAATCAGTTATAATCATATCGAGTAGTGCATTGTCCAAAACTTTTTTACTATCTGGTGTAATTTTTCTAGGTAAGAAATTTGCAATAGATGGCTGTTTGCGTTTAAGTGTACTAGTAGAAGCTGATGAAGTAAAAGTCGAAATTGGTGGAATAGTGGTCAAAGATGATGAAGCGGTGTTTGAAGATATCGGAACATGAGCAGTCAAACCTGATGAAGTAGTGTATGAAGATATTGGAACAAGATCAGTCAAACCTGATGAATTAACCACATTATCAACATCAGGAGTTCTTTCTCTTTCTCTATCAACCTTATCAACCTATACCATTAAATAAAATTAATTGTTATTTATAAAAACATAAGGTCCACCTAGTAGCCTAATAAATAAAATGACACTTGGAATTCATATTTTTTTATAATATAATTTTTAATTTAAATAGATACATACTTTTTCTGTAATATTGATCCCATGAACAGCCTTTAAATGTTTTTTTAAATTTGTTAAAGACGTTTTGTATGACAATTTTTTTTGACAAGTGTCACATACAGCAAATATACTATCTACCGCTGTCATGTACTGCCAGACAATACTAAAACGCTCTTTTCGGTTGTTTGGCTCATATTAAAATAAAAAATGTAATAAAGTATTAAGCAAATAAATGTTGTATAAATAAAAGTGTAAACAACTGTACTGTGCAATATGAAGTGTTTCAAGTGTTATAAAAATAGTTGGAATTCCGGATTTTTATATAAATCTCTTATTCAACTAGTACCAAAAAACAAAGATTTTCATACTATACAGTCAATCTATAATATTTGGGACCTATAATTATTTGCAAAAAATACCTAATAATTATAATATTATTTAAATTTATGCGGGAAATGTTGGTAAATACTAAATTATCATATTATGCATAGATTATAGAACCTTATATCTTAAACCATAATTTATTTTAAAATGTAGTCAATTATTCCCCTTGATAATTGATTACCGCTGATAAGACCAGTATGTACTATCCGTGTGTTCCTTATTAATTATTGACATGCATCTAGTTATCCATCTGATGAAACATCGGATTATTCGGATTGATAGTCAAGGAACACTTTTATCATAAACTTGTTATCATGTGTGATATGAATGATAAATATATCTTATCATGTCATCGCCTACCGCACCACCTTATTTAGTAGGTTCGCCATCGGATGGATCGAGAGCAATCAGATTGTCCATCTGATTTTTAAGATTGTTCAAGGAACACCGAAAAACATCAGATGAGCAATCTGATTAACCATCGAGTTTATTGAGGAACACACGGTATGTCCTATCCATATCTTTATTATCCATTTATCCAGTTAAAGTAGCAATCACTGCTATTTTCACTGTGATTTATATTATCACAGTAGCAAATTCACAGTGTGATTGATATTTTTCACAGTTTAACATCACTGGTGTTGATATTTTGAAGGTTTGGAAAAGACTGACTAAGTTATCGAAATCGTCCGGTATATATACCCATTTCGATAACTTAGTCCGTTGCTGATTGGTCCGTGCCTCTGTTGTGACAGATGAAAATCACACCGTTGTGTTGCCGTTCGCCTTTACTTGGTGTGGTTTTCATCTGTCAGACCGCTTCGTTTTTAGTCAATTAGTGGTCTTGATAAAGACCTTTTTGTGTGTCTCGGTTTATTCCGTAACAAGTTGAGATAGTTTTAAGTATTGTCCTTGTTTTTTGTGAGCTCTGTGGTCATTGCACCAGACCGACTCGACCACAGAGACCCCCCTCCCCATAACTAGCCTGCACCATCCTAACTCCTTTGGTAGGGATCTCCCATCCTGAGCGTCGTCGTTCGTGCGTAGAATTGCCTACCGTACACACATTCAGGCGAAGGCACCTATAGTTGCCTACCCACCCAAATAGTCGGCGCTAGTGGTGGTGTTGGCCGCAATTATTAATATTTAGTTCTCGGGCGTTCCCCGAGTGGTCCTTCGGGTTGCCCCTATTCAGGGTGCATACAGAAGGGATTAGTTGTTTATTTTCTATGCTAATTATTACTTTAATATATATATATCATACTTGTGATAAAAAGAATATTATTAAGACTGTATTATTTGTTGAAACTTATTAAAATTGTTACTATTATATTTAATAATTTGTTTGACAACACAAGGGAATAGGGATTGGTTGTTTTATTTGTATGTATACAATAAATTCATTTATAGTATTTGCTTTGAGCTATTTGTTTTTTTTTGGACCATTGAGGACACTGGACAGGTTAAGTTGATTTAAAACCGTAAATCTATTAGACTTATATCATATTTATATGCTCTATACTAAGCCCGTGGTTTTATCAAGTTTTATTGCGATGTTATCACCGAATAATGTGTTATGCTCACAGCTGATATACATATACACATTTTTAAATATCTGTGATTATGCTCGATATTGTACAATATTCTCCTACAGAAGATAATACGTTAAGAGTTTACTGATTACGACACGAAAATTTTCTTACACGAATATTGTTATAATTAATAAATGATTATAGACTAGCGAAGCGAGGTCTGATTATTAAAAAAACAAAACCTAGGTAAAAATTGAATGAAATCGAAACTTTTAAAAAATAAAATCGAAACATTAGGAAATTTGACCTGGCAACACAGGCTTTGACGCGCTTTTGCGGCGTGGACGCAGTGTTTTTCGCGCGCTACTGCCGTCGCCGCGCCGCAACCGCACTGCATTGGTGTGCGCCGGGCCTAACAGATGATAACAACTCAAATTGTCTACGAAGGAACAAACCCAAGTAAGACATAACATAGTTGACTGTTGACCAACACCCGTGTGAATACGAATACCAGTCATTACTATTTAATTCTATAGTCTATATCGTTGTTTCATTCTTTAATTTTGTACTTTATGTATTGTACTGTACTTGAGCCTTCGGGCGTTTACTCAATAAATAAATAAACAAATAAATATACAACAAATATATATTCATTACCATTTACTTTACATAAGTCTGTTGATAATAAAATACTATTACTAATACATTTTGATATACCACGACTTTGACTAATAGTTTTTAAGCTCCAGTAATATTTAAAAAAAAGGAACTTCTATTGTAATTGAGTTACTTTTACAACTCAAAAGTTAGGAAACTTGACATAATGAAAAAAAAAGTAACTTAAAAATAATTTAGTTACAATTTTGATTAGTAATTAGTAAAGTAATTTAGTAAGTAACTTCCCCAACACTGCTTATAAGTTTCATAACTATTTCGTGACTAAGTCATAACGTGTTCTATAGATATACATAGTATGATGTAGGTATTTTTGATTATTCTAATATATCTTGTTTTTCTGACTGCATACCAGATAGCCAATACCTAATTTGTGGTCTGTAAAGGCTAGTTCAGACTATGCCAGAAATTTAGTCAAGTAGCGAGTAATTTAGCTACTAAACGTGTATGAACAGACTGATTTAGTCAAGTAGTTTAGTAAATTTATTTAGTAATTTAGTAATTAGTAGATCCATTTACTTCTATTTTTTCTGGTCGAGTAGCATCCCCCACTTTTCTGATTAATTACTAATAGGTAGTCTGAACGCATTGTTTTAGTTTAGTGTATTAGTTGTCCTTGTCAGTGTCAAGATGACGTTTCGTTGGGGTGAAGACACAACATTTAAATTTGTTTCGGAATATATAAAACACGAGTCTTTATGGAATATAAAATGCCTGCTGTATAAAAATAAACAGGCCAAGCTATCTGCTGGTAATGAATTATAAAAAATTATGAATATACCTGGATTCGGTGAAAGAGAGATTAAGTTAAAAATTAAAAACATAAGGTCAGTATAAGTTTATTAAATAATAACTAGGTAACCATTAACTTTTATCACTTATTTTAAAATACATAAACAGGTCTACTTATTCACAAGAGCTAAAAAAAATAAAGGATTCGAAAAGATCCGGCGCAGGTACCGACGCTATTTTCATACCATCTATTAAATTGTTCAGCATATTGGATGATACCTTTAACGGGACAAGATCACGTAATAGACCAGTGTCGCGCTCTTGTGACGTACATTAGCGCAACTCATCGAACACGCGCTGACGGTCAATCGAAAACATGCACAACACATCATGGATGGCGCGCACCCGTCACTGTCGTTGCAAATTAACACTTTACTCGTTTATCTCCGATTAAGTTGTACTTATATCAAAATATCAAGTATCATCGACAAGTAGAAACCTTCAAAAATAATATAAAAATCATCAGAACATTCAAAATCATCATTACAACACTTCAAATACCAAAGCCCATAAACTCAAATACAAATGTCAACAGACCCGCATTATGCAGATAAAGCCGTCGGAGCCACCTACAAGACACCACATATTTCCACTTTTTCAACCCATAGCTGGTTAATCGGAAGGTAATAAACGACCTTCATACGGTGATTCACACAAGACCATATAGCTATCTTAGTAATTCCAGTCACGACGAACCAAGGTGCCCTTCTAAGGTTAACTTTAGAACGGGGACAACACCAGGTTGAACGAGACATAAATCGTATACTCTACCTTTACATCCGCGTGATACATAGTAAGGTAGAATATACGATACACCATACCAGTACCCCAGTGTGGTATTTCTTATGTAATAAATACGTCGTCGAAGTGCCACCAACGTAAAAAGCAGCTAGGAGCAGTCACTGATGAGTCGACGCCCGGCCGACAACGTTTCGAATACAGTCAGCATTCAATTCGTGAGTTTGTCATAACATTCCCCCCCATTTGATTGTAACCCCTTATAAAAATATTCTTATTGTATCAAAAGACGCTAAGTCAAGTAAAATGTTGTAAAAATATATGTAAAAACATGTTTAAAATAACAAAATATATAAATAAAAGTTAACGTTTGAACAAGCAAAACAAAAGACTTGAAATTCGTTACATACCCTACGTAATATTAATTCTAAGTTGACGAAAAGTCACAGCAATTTGGTATGTTATTGTATACTGTACTTATTTTAGTTTTAATGTAGGAATTAAAGTATACATTTTATATTTTAATTGCTATTTATATCATTTTATACTTAACAACTATATAAATAGCACTACTATTATTTTTTTTGTTATCATGGATTTTTGTGAACAATAATTAATCAAATACAAATATCTTATTAAATATGAATGGAGAATGTTTATTCAGATTATTAATACAAATTTAAAATTATACGATGTATGCAGTTTTAAATTATTTAAAAGTTTATTATTATTATTTTAAAGTTTATAACTTGAGTTGACATTAGAAGAAAAAAAATCGTCCGAGTCACGTGTACATTTTAGTGAACCATCATTGTCTGCCAAGGAATTGATCCTTCTGCCACGAAGTAATCTGCATATCTTTCACGAAGGTCTTGAGATCTTCTGGTTGAATGATTGGCTAAACTATTTTTCAATGATTCAAAACCATTCGGCTCTGACTCGTCCCTCCAATTACCTCGGATAATTACTCCAGTATCAAAATTTTCTGAATCGACTGTATATTCAAATTGTCTATATTGTAATTTAGTTTTTTTGAGACAGTTATGAAGAGCACAACATGCTTTTACAATAAGAATGACCTTTTCGGGGTTGTATGGAAACGGTTTTTCAAATACTCGAAATCTAGCGGCCACTATGCCAAAAGCGTTTTCGACTATTCTTCTTGTACTCGACAATCTGTAGTTGAAAATTTTCTGTTTTAATGTCAACTGGTTTCCAGGAAATGGCTTAAGTAAATATTCTTTTAAGGGAAATGCGTTGTCGCCAACTAAAACATACCTTCTGGTAGCATACCATCCTCTAATGCTTGATACAAACTGCAGTTACGAAAAACACCTCCATCAGACACTCTCCCATTACATCCAATATCTATATAACTAAAATAATATTTATGGTCCACTACTGCCATTAAAACAATAGCTGCGTTTAGACCAAGAGGATTAAGGACGGATTTGGAACGAGCCGTTCTATCTCGTGTATTTAAATCCTTACGTGTAAATACTAGCAAATGATTTATGAAATTATAGATTTTTAAGTAGATGACAAATGCTAGTGATGGATTGTGTGTCTAAATGCATTTGTCGTTTGCTTCTATCTTTTAAAAAAAAACAGAGAGGACAGGCCATCCTTTGCTACCAGCGAGAGCTATTTAAACACACAGTCCATCCTCTCCCTAAATTCTGCAGTGGCACTTTCAGGTACACACCGCTTGGCTACTGTTTGCTTCTGTTTGCTACTGCACTATATTTTTTGTACAGTGTACACTCAAAATAAAACCCTATGGCCTATGTAATATCATAGAACATAGTATTAAATAATATGGGTACCTACCTACATAGTTATTATAATATTATTATTACATAGTTATTTTCTATATTATACAGTTATTTATTCTAAGGTAGTATGCAGTGATCTTATTTTTTTTAAACATTGGCGGGCTGGTATCTAGCGGACCGTTTCGGAGATAAAAGCGTAATTAACATCATGCTTTACCGCCAAGCTTACAACATCAATCAGTCCGCCACGAAATAAAAACAATTAAAGTGGAGGGGCGAGTGTCGCTTCTATAATGTTCTATGGCAATACATTTCCTGCTACCATACAATAATTTATTGTGCTCTTATCAAATAATTATTTCCCGCCAATTTATTGACTCCTATATAACCTGATAATGTATTATGTTACTAAGTTACGCTAACTAAGAATACTGAACAGTATTTGGTTAAAATAATTTATAGTTTGGTATAATAAAGTGCTGTTTAAGTGTAATTTTTTTTTAAAATTGTTTTGGACTTTGGTAATCAGTGATCACCGTATAGTAATCATGTCAGACATTAGAAACTGGACGAAAGAATTTTTAACTGAATTTATCAACAATTATCGCGGGCAACCATGTCTATGGAAAATAAAGGACAAAAAAGTATACACAAATAGGAATCTCAAAACTATCGCTTACGATCTCCTGACAGACTATTCAAAAACAGTTTATCCAGAAGCAAACCGGGCATGGGTCGTAAGTCGAATCCAAAGCTTACGTGGGTCATTTAGGAAAAAGTTTAATAAGTCGTATGAAACTAAGAATAAAAGTGGTTCATCGGCTGATAGTGTTCACATTCCATCGTTATGGTACTATAACCAACTACTATTCACAAAAGAGCAAGAAATGCCAGAGGAAAGTATCTCAAATATAAGTGATGATGAAAATAATGATTTCATCCCAGAAAATGGCCAAAACAATGTTATAAGTGAAGATAATTCTTTATATTGATAATAATGAAAAGATTAACGACGACAATTTGATTACAGTTAAGGTATGTTTTTTAATTTAATACCTTCTTAGGTTAGGTACCTTCTATAAAACTAATGTAAATAGATTATTGTGATCATTGTTATTTATTTACTAGGAGATGGGCATGTAGTACCCACTATTAAAAATAATATTATTTATAATCAATGGAAGTTCAAGTACCTACTTACAAAATATGTGTTATTCTTCTTGTTATTATGATACTTGGTATCTAATTAGTTTTCCTGATTCAATAATGTTCAGATTCTGATTGATTACAATATGATAATTTATTTTAATATGATCTTACTATTTTTGTTCCTAAACTATAATAATGATGGAAAAGGAATAGCCAGTAGCCAAATAGGTTACTTATGGTTACTTATTATACATAAGTCATAATAAAAGTTTAAAATATTGTATAGACATAGATATTAATTTTTAATTTTAATTTAAAGTAACTATTACCTAATATTAGGTAATAGGTAGGTAAACTTATTATAAGTTATATTGAATTCCAAAATACTATTGATTATGCTTTTCCTTTTTGGAGCATTTCTTCTTGCCAATCAACTTTTCCTCTTCCATTATAAAACTGTTTATAATTATTTCTGTTGTATTTTGCGTTAGCAGGGGAATTTCGTTGTGTTATTGGTTGGATTTCTAGGATATTAACAGCTTCATTTCTCCAGTCTCCATTTGTAATTATTTCATGAGTGTTTGTGTCTTCTTTATCAAATGTTATGTTTGATGCATAAGAGGTACTAGTTCTTCTTAAAAAATTATGCAATGTACAAATTGCTAAGACGACTAACTTTATTTTATCTGGTGACATGTGTATGGCTGTGTGCAAAACTCTGAACCTACTTGCCAAAAGTCCAAATGTGTTTTCAACTACATTTCTGCCTCTTGATAGTCTGTAGTTGAAAATTCTTTCTTCGTGTGAAATATTGCTACCCGGATATGGTTTCATTACATGGTTGTGTAAAGCAAATGCATCATCAGCCAAAAACGTAAAATTTAAATTTTCATCGGTGTCATCGTTTTCAGGCAAATTTAGTGTCTCATTCTGTAATTTTTGGTAGAATTTGGTGTGCTCTATGACTCCCCCATCAGAACACCTACCATTTTTGCCAACATCAACAAATATAAACTAATAATTTGAGTTTACCAATGCCATTAAAACTATACTATAAAATCCCTTATAATTATAATAATGGGCTCCAGAATCTTTTGGTGGTATTATCCTTATATGTTTCCCATCGAGAGCACCTCCACAATTTATAACTTGCCAACGAATTTTAAATCCATTGCTAATTTCTTTCCATTCACCCTTAGTTTTTGGAAACTACAAATGACAAAAAAAAAAACAAAGTTATAATTGGTGATTTGTTTGTGTTTCTTATACTGATATTATTAATATATATATCTATTTAATAGATAGGTAGTTTTAACTATTTACTTAGTTGATATAATTTTACATATATTTTAGAAAACTTCAACCATACCTTCACCCTATTTTGCTGTTAAAGAAACACAAAAGAAAAGAAAGAAGGATGACAGTCAATTGTTTGTCAAAACTATTACACAAGCTATTCAGGGTTGCAAAGATATAGACGAGTATGAGGCTTTTGGCATTTGTGTTGCTGCCAAGGTGCGGAAAATGAGTGAAACCCAGTATCTGATGGCAGAACCTTTGATTAACTCAATACTATCCAAAGGACTGTCAAATCATTTAACTCCTGATACTGTAATAGGACAGCAAAATTCCATTGGTAATAATTTATTTTTTATTGAATTTAAAAACAGATATTTTTTATAATAGTATATTTATATATTTATATAGTATATTTTTTTACAGAAAATATCTTTAATTTTACTTGTTCATTATTTAATTGTATACCAAATATAAACCTTCAAAATGTCATATTCATTGTAGCAGGGATTATAATATGCAATATAATATACCTACTTTATAAATATAATTTCCTACACTAATATTTACTATTTGTTTGACAGATTATTCACATGGCCATGGACCAAGTAGTGGGATACCATTGTCTACCAACTCTTATACAGCTCAATCCAACACTATAGCCAACTCTACCTTAAGCTATACTTATCCTGAAAGTTCTATATCTCCTGCCATTAATTCAGGTATTAATTCTGTCAGTATTGTTATACTCATGGATTCGCCTATCCGAGCTATACTAACTTTAATAGGGTTGATGATGAAACTGGTGATAATTCTGAAGATGATAGTTCTCTTTTAACATTATAAAATAGCATGTATTTAATATAAAAATTTAATATTTAGTAAGTAATGGGAAGTTCCTTGGTTAATTCTTTTTATTTTTTTTAATTTAACAAGTTGTTTTAATTAATTTATGTTATTTTTTGTTTGCTCATATAAACTGTGAGACGTTTTAATTATTATATTTTTAAAAATTTATTTATTCTAACATGATAACATATTATCATATAGCTATATGGCAGTTCATATATATTATTATTTACTTAAATGAAAGTTCCTTTCTCTATTGTTTTTAGTTTTTTAATTTAACAAGCTGTTTTCATAATTTATGTTATTTTTTGTTTGGTCTTATAAACTGTAAGTAGTTTTCGTTATTATATTTTTTTAAATTTATTTGTTTTAATTAAAAAATACCTTTGTCAGTTCTTTAATTTTTTTGATTTAACAAGCTGTTTTTATTCAACATATTTTTTCAGAATATTTTATACTTACACTTATATTTATTTTTAATTAAAATAAAAACAGAATTATAAAATGCATTAGTTTAATTATTTATTATGTTTTAGCTATTAATTTGTTCAATAGAATAAATTACTTTTTGTAGATACATTCAGATAATTTGTATGAAAATAATCAAGCCAGCCAATCTCTAGAACTATTAGACCAGTTTAAAGTTAACTACTGGGCTTACGCCGAGGGTGCTTGATGAAAGGGGGGCGCTTCAATGATATAATATTAAAACTGAGAAAATTATACGAATATAGTTTTAATATTCTATCCATTCTATTGTTTATGGTAGATATATAATAATTTAATGTAAAATAATATATCTTTATTAAATTTTATTAATGATAGTTTTATCTTATGGACACATATCTTAGTAAAACAAAACCCTAAATAGTTAAAATAAATGACTTACAGTTAAATAATTCTTTTTTAACACTTGATACAGCGCAGCACAAGTTTCTGGTATTATTTCACATAGGCTGGGTGCAGAAATAGCAGTTGAAAATTTTAATCTCTGGTACGACATACCAGAAGCAAGAAATGTTAGAGTTGCTATTAATCTTTGTTCTGGAGGAATACTTTCCCTCATGACCGTATCTTCTTTTTGTATAAGTGGCCCAATTAAACCTAGGTATACATTTTATTTATTGAAATAAATTTTGGATGATAAAATAGAAACTACATGGTAACTTAACAATGTACTTACTCAGTAAGTAATCAAATGTAGTACCATCAATCCTCAAATAGTTTATGAAATCTTCTGGATTATTAGTTCTCAGTTCTTGGAGTAATGGTAAATGCCCAAATTTGGTTTTATCCGCCATCCAATTTTTCATCCATACTGATCTTGGTGATCGGGCTTTCAACATGTTCATGTAAACATAATAAACACCAGCATATCCTAGTATTGTTTTCTTTCTACTTGTAGATGACATAATTATTCTAATTACTTTCTATGCTTATATTACTTATACTACTCTTTATACTCAAAGAGCTTAATTAGAATTAAAAAATATTATAATAACACATACGTACATAGGTGTTTAAAATAAACGCACATGCTCAGTTGAATTTACAGAGGAAAGTGGTCTAATTTTTAAAATGACTGGAGGAAACTCCATCATTTATAAAATCATGTGTAAACCCTATTCACACGGACAGTTTTGTCCTCTTTCATTACAAATGCTCATTCCATCGCGAGTGATGGAATTTGGTAATTAAAATTAGCTAATGATAGTCATGTACAAATGTACAATCAATCGCTTGGCAAAAACTTATGCGGTCCTATCACGCGTGATAGTCATTTGGTTAATTTTTCATTACCAGACGATAGAACGTCTCGTTCCATCCTTTCCAATATTACGCGGGATGGACCGTGCCGTTCCAAAACTCTACTAAATCATCTCCGTCTAAATGCAGCTAATACTGTTTGATTCCTTGTAACTGTAGTACAAGCTTCCTGATTCGGGAGGTGCTTTAATTATAACGTGTTTCCCATCAATAGCGCCACAGCACATGGGAAAGTTCCATTCGTTTTTAAAACCCTTCTCAATATTTTTCCAACCTTCTTTGTTAGGAACCTAAAAATACATAATACACAATTTATCTAAATCTTATAATAGTATTTTATTATAATTATTATTACATTTAGATTATGAGTGAAACGAAGAAAGTATTATTTTTATTAAGATAATTATTTTATTTTTTAATTTTATTTTTTCTGTAATTAAATTTAAATTAAGAGTGTATCACAATATATTTAATAGCATAATCTATTTACCTAATAAAATTAAAAACAAAAAGTTTATAAAACTAAATCTATTAAATGATACTTTTTTTCTAAGTAAATCATTTTTTAGATTTGGGATTTTTTAATTTATTAAAAATATCTTAAAGTTCCCTATATTAAATTATTAAAAAAAAAAATTAACATAATCTATTTACCAATTGTTCAGTTAAACACAGATAACGAAAATAATATATCTGTAACAGAAACCGAACACACGGAAAATACTACAGAACTCACATTGAACTCTGAATTTTGTGAACCAAAACCAAAAAATAAAAAGCAGACTTTCACAACTTAAGACTATGGTCACTGAGTTAAAAGGGATAACCGAAGCTATTAACTCTCCGGTAGAAAACGAGTTTGAGGTTTTTGGAAAACACATAGGGCTACAACTACAATCAATGCCATTACTAATAGCACTTGAGGCACAAGAACATATTCAAGTTTATTTGAATAGACTTCGTAGACAGCATTTACAAAACTCTTCTGACCAAAATATAATAATTACGAAATCAATCACTCCATCGGTATCGTCATACACTCAACAAGATTCACCTGGCGGAAGATAGTAAGTTGCGCACGGCAGAGGACGTCGACGACGTGGTTTGCGCCTACCTGCCGGAACCGGAAACCAACAGGCGCTTACACACGTGCGTCACGTCGCATATGATACACGGGCCTTGTGGAAGGGTCAACCCACAGTGTCCGTGCATGGTGGACAACTGTTGCTCCAAAGACTACCCGAAACCATACGCAGAGGAGACTGTGTATGTTTCGGACGGCGGTTACCCAAAGTACCGACGACCGGACGACGGTCAAGTGGTTCTTTTGAAAAATCACGAGGTCGGCAATGAGTACGTAGTTCCTCACAACCCTTACCTCCTGGCAAAGTACGACGCACACATCAATGTCGAGGTGTGCTCTTCCATAAAGAGCGTCATGTACATCTACAAGTACATCTACAAGGGACATGACTGTGTGACGCTGGAGGTTTTTGACCAGGATGAACTAGCCAAGTGAGTGTTCATTGAAATTATAGTTATAGAAATTGTTGAAGCAATATCAATACTATATTTCTTTATTTGTGTGTAAGAGTTATATAATATATATAGTTATATAATATATAATTGTATGTATGTACATTTGTACATCATGGCACATGATTACTATTCCATCATTATTAGTGTAGAACAATATTTTATGCATTCAATTTTATGTATTAAATATTTTTCTAATCACTCTTTGTATACATTATGTATTTTTAGATTGTAAATTGCAGCATTTGTGATTGGTGTAGTTAAGCAAAATACTTCCTAGCGCATGAACTCTTATCAAATTAGGTTTTTTGTCAGTTGTACACACCATATATTATTGGACGATACCTTCTATTATTTTAATGTATTATATTATATATACTTCAAACAATATCAAAATATCACTAAAATTATATTTCAACTGTACACATACATAAATACATTAATTAAGCAGATTTTATAAAAATTTACTAAGACATGGTACTCTGCCGTACCTCCGTGTACTTTTTTTTATTGACATTCGATAATTGTTATTGAATTGTGTTTCAATACTTTGCTACATGAAAAAACTTACAGAGGTTGAGTTCTTAGTTTTGTTACTAGAGTACAGCAATATCGGTGGCACATCATTTATATTATGTAGTATGTAATAATTATGTCTACATCTTTGTTTGTTAAATATTAATTATCACGCGGTATTCGTTTAGTATGTGACCTACCGGATGAAAATCGAATTTAGTATGTGACCTACCTGTATTACTGGGTTTAGTGTGTGACCTACCTAGACGATTATCTATATTATAGATATAGACAATCTATGCTTGCTTATCTTTATAGTTATATTATATTATATTTACTGGTTTTTACCAATAGATATTTTGTCATTTTAACATTATCGACAATATTGTCAGTACCTGTTCTGTCGTCAATCCGATATCGCGTGTTTAAAACTTTAAAATGTTGGCAGTCGAATTGTATGCGATTATTTCTTCTGAAAAAACAGTATTAGAATTTTTACAAAATAATAAACTATTACCGCAAAATAACGAAACTAATTTATGCCATAAATGTCATGGTGAAACAAAGATGTACATGAGGAAAAAAAGATTGGCTACGGGTGAAATTCGAGAGATCAGCACTATACGATGTATCACAAAAGGATGTCAGACATATAAATCAATTCGATCAACAAATGGATTTTTTACATACACTGATCTTAATGCACGATGCAATTCTAATCTCAGTTTGGGCCAAATACTAGAACTTATTTATTATTGGTCACAAGATTTACCCATAAAAACTGTTTCTGATTTGACAGGCCGTTCAAATGCAACCATTGTTGACTGGTTTAATTTGTGTAGAGACGTGTGTTGTTCATTATTTGAAAAACGTGAAAAGATGGGAGGACAAAATATAGTGGTACAAATTGATGAATCGTTATTGAGAGGAAGAAGAAAGTATAACCGAGGAAGACTGCTGCTAGGTGATCTGCGTCATGAACAAGTACAAGATAACTCAGCAGACTTCCATTCTGACAGTGATCAAGAAAATCAAATAAACCTAGCTAATTCACCTACATCAAACAGAAATTATGGTCGTCGACTAGAAGGACCCTGGGTATTCGGATTATGTAGTAAAATCGGAAATAATTTGGAACGAAGATTTTTTGTTGTAGAAAAACGTGATAGAGAAACTTTAATTCCGATTATCGAAAAAGAAATATTACCAGGTTCTATTATAATGTCAGATGAATGGAGAGCATATTCTTGTTTAAAAAATATAGGCTATGATCATAGAACAGTAAACCATTCAAAAAATTTTGTTGATCCAACTACTGGAGCTCACACACAAGCAATTGAATGTTCATGGGGAGTATTAAAAACTAAAAACCTACGAAAAATGCATGGAACATCAGCTGAAATGTTGCCACGTCATTTAATTGAGGCATGGTATCGATCTATCAACAGGCAAGATACAATTTTTTTAAAATTTTTAAGCGATGTACAAAAAGTGTATTGCCAAACATAATTTAATTTTATGCATTTTTTTTTTTATATTGATATTCTGTAATAGTGAAATAACCTAATTATATAATTTTTAATTGTAATTATTTTTAAATTAATTTTGACTGATATTAAATATAATCCGTAATTTGTAATAATAATATATTTTGACTGATATTGAATATAATCCGTTATCTGTAATAATAAAATAACGTCTAGTTATATAATTTTTAATTTGTATGTTTTTAAATTAATTACCGGACCGGTAGGTCACGCATACAAAACGTTCACCCTATACGGTAGGTCACGCGACCGGTAGGTCACATACTAAACGAATACCTATCACGCTACACACTTATTCCAACTCCACATTAGTTGTAAACGTCGACGCCATTGCTACAGTAGACTTATTATAGATTATTACTATTTTTGTACGAATGACACTTTTATAGTATTCATTCAGTTCAATAGGTATATCCACCACGATTATAATTCGAATACTTATATTTTTCACCAACACCTACTCAAACTGTTTTCTATTGTAAATGTCTGTTCGTTTAAATGACTCTACGTTATAATAGTATATAATTTGATTCTCGCTCAGCCTAATACAATAATTATAACAATTATTACAACACTTGACAGTAAGAAGATATAGTGTTAGCCGTCTTATACATAGCATTGTATTTGTTTTCAGTTTCGTAAACACAAGATACGTCAGACCGCCAGAAGGCATCTGGCGGCTGTTTTCGTACGAATTGCACAAGAGAAGTCACACGATCGTCAGACTTCCTATCCACCTAAAAGGTCGACAAAACGTCTACTTTGCACCGGGACAAGCGCAAGAGCGGTTGCAAAACGAAGCTCTACATCGTACGAGGCTAACTGAGTTCTTCACGCTCAACATAAACGACGTGGAAGCTCGACAATACCTGTACACAGATATACCGACGCATTACACGTGGAATGCGGCTCAGCGGACGTGGGTGGGGCGGCGGAGAATGATGGCAAACGAGACGTTGGCTCAGATGTACATCGTCAACCCGCTGGATCGGGACCGTTTCCACTTGCAACTGCTACTACCATGAACTATGATTAATAGGACTGAGCACTTATGAGATAGTGGCGGTCACGAACTGTCACCAAGTGCCTTATATCGGTTCTATCGCCATCTAGCGGTAAATTCATACTAACAGTAAAACGAATATAAAGATTGGTGCACAACTATTTATACGCAACTTTTATTAAGTTTAAAAAAAAAAAATACATGATCGTATTATAATAATTTTTTATTATTAGTAAAGGTCGTTTTAAGATTTCATAATTAAGTGTTTACTAGTTTAGAAAGTTTTTTTTTTTTTACAACTTCTTTTAGCAGGTTCCATATTTTTAAAATAACAGTACTGACGCATACGCATTGTAATGTAGTATGATAAAATATCTGACATGACTTCAATTTTATGTTCAGTACAAGGAAAAGAAATGGAAGTTTTTAAAACATCATTCACTGTTAAATTAAATACATCTACATCTTCACAAAATCTTTCAAAAGAATTTTCTATTGTTTTAATAATATTGAAAAAGTTAAAATTAGGGTGTATTAAATAACCTCTAGATTTAATGTTAGTAAGTGAAGCTACTGATTTAGTAGAAGATGTTGAAGATGTATTTTTAAGAAATGCTAAACATCTTTCACAAACATAACGTTTTGAAAGTTGCCTTATTAAATAACCACAGACATAGTATACTACACAATCAACTGTTGGCAATTTAAAATAATTATGGTCTTCAAAAATAGAATCAGCTTCCTAATCTTCATTGTCCATGCAATTACTTAACTTTAATTTTAGTGCTTCAATATTCTTAACTCTTTTACTTACATCTAAAGAATTAAGACAAATTAGAAAAATTTTAATGATAATCATCATAAATACTTATATTACCATTAGTATCATAGATATTTTTAATGTCATCAATTGATATTTTCGGACACTCTGAATTAAGTACTTGGCAATTACCTGTCTTTGGTGGTTTTATAACTGAATATATTGATAACAGTTTGTACATTTGAAGGAAAGTTGGCGTTGCAGGGTGGTCATTAGGACCAGTTGACTGACGAACAGTCCTAAAAGAATAACTATGATTTAAATTGAAATGTATATAATATTATCACTTCAAGTATTAAAAGACAGGGACATATAATGTTATTTACCTCTAAAGCATCTTGGTTCATTTTACTTGTGAGCACATAATGAAAACCACAATCATTAAGTAAATAGTTACACAAATCAATAGTAGACAGTAATGTTACTCTTAAACCCTCAGCAGTGTTGGGTGTAAGAAAATCCTCTTTACTAATTTTACGAAATATAATTATGACGGGCCATATACTATCTGAGTCGATGGACCCCCGGTAGGCCAAAATTAGCCACCGGGCCGTACTTTGCCCATCACTGACCCCAAGTGACCTACATATAATGATCTAAAAAAAATTTTCAATGTAATACAATTAGAAAGACAAGTCAAAATTAATAAATCAAAAGAAAAATTAGATTTACTTAAACAAGAAGAAAATTGGGATCCTATACATTATATCTGATTACAAGATCATAATTGAAGAGGTGGGTGCAACAACCAGACATCTCCATATTATAAAAATATTCAGGAGAGACAAAATAGTGTTTTAAAAAATAACTAAAAATTTTAAAAATTTGTAAAAAATATAATTGAAATCTAATTTTGGGCTTATAATTGATGCCAACACCCAAATCGTCAAAAAAAAATTTCTGTACTCACAAAACCAAAAACAATTTGGAGATGTCTGGTTGTTGCACTAAAAATGTTATCATCGGTAATAAAACATTATAATATATGCATTGTTTTAAACATTGATACATCTATACAAATAAATAACAAAAAGGTACATATTTTTTTGTTAAAATAAAAATGTTTCCTTCATTTTATTAGTATTCATAAAACAAGTTATAACAGTATTCATGAAAAAAAAAATATATAAAATATAAATAACAGAAAACAGTAGGTACGTACTTGCTTTTTTGTTAAATTAAAACTGTTACCTTAATAATATGTTATTAACAGGTATTTAAAAACAATAAAATAAAACAATTTATAATAATAGTGAACATGAGAAAAAACAAATATAAAAATTAAATAACAAAAAATAGTAGTAGGTATACATGTTTTTTGTTGATATACAAAACAAATTACTTATATTAATCATGAAAAAAAAAAACTAATATAAATATAAATAACAGAAAACTGTAGGTAAGTACTTGCTTTTTTGCTAAATTAAAACTGTTACCTTAATAATATGTTATTAACAGGTATTTAAAAACAATAAAATAAAACAATTTATAATAATAGTTAACATGAGAAAAAACAATATAAAAATTAAATAACAGAAAACTGTAGGTAATATGTGATAAACTGTAGGTATATAAATAAAAATGAATAGTAATTTTGTTTTACTATTCATCCGAGTAGTCTTCATATGGTAAATCGTTTGATTCGAGATCATTATAAAACCAGAGATTGTCAGGTGGTACATACTTCGACGCCAAATCCCTTACATCTTTTAATTTAGCTTCTTTTATTTTGAGAGGACTATTATAAAGAATACTTAAAGGTCCTGGTAGAATTAACTGTGCATTTGGTTTATGTAATTTGAAAATTTCTTTGGCAGTGGAATGAACCGATATACTTGCATACAAACCATCTTTAGTATACTCCATAAATCGGTATGATAAAATGGAAAAGTGTTTAACTGTTTTTTTAAAGAAAGGTTTTGTATGATCTGCATAATTTAGTATTGTATCTTGTTTTACATCAATAACATTGAAGCTTTTACATGTATCTTTGACAAGTTTTTGGTAAGTAGCTGGTAAAAAAACATATTCTAATTTTCTTTTGTTTTTTTCGATTAATGCAAAAGCTCTGTCACAAGGTAAAAAACTATGTCCAGGTTGTGGATATCGATGTACTATAGTTTTTATACCAAAATTTTTTGTTAGTGCTAATGTGTAAAAGTATTGTGTTAGAGCAAAGTTTTTATTTTGTGCGCTACAGTTGTCGGAAAACAAATATACAGTCTCAACACTTTTATCCATTATATTGGAAAAAAAATGATTTATAAAGTTTATAACTTCATTTTGGCCCTTGCGACCTGTAGCTTCGTCATACATATAAAAATATGATTTTCCTGTTTTCCCTGAATGTATGCAAAAATTATACACCCACAGTTGCCTTTTATAATAAACATCACCACTTGGAATTTGGGGCAGTGGCATATTTTGTTGATAGTCAAATGATAAAACTTCACATTTGTTGTTTGGATCCTTAGATTCTATAGTTTTTTCTTTTAAGGCGGTATAAAATACTTCAGCTTTAGAGAGGTGCAATTGTTTTTCAGTCTGTAGTTTATTTTTTAATTCTTCGTTGGTTTCCACTTTAATTAAATTTTGAAGCTTATCACACACTTGACAGGTGTCAGAACGTGGATAGCCAAAAGAAAGTTTAAAATTAGTTAAAAAGTATCTTCGATAGAAGTCATAGGAAAGATTTGGTTTTATATTTTCATTTTCTAGTACTTGTTGCCAATTTTCATTTTCATATTTTAACATGTAAAGCTCATACATTTTATATATATTAAGATCAGGTGATAGGTATCGAACAGATTCATTTTTATTGCGGCTGTAATGAGATTCATGAGCAGGAAAACTTCTAATGTGGGTGTCTACCTGAAAAATAGTTTTCTCACTTTTAGAATTTCCTCTCTTCATATGTTTTCCACGTTTATCTACTGGACTTGGTTTATTATCCTGTATTGATTTTATGATCCGTTCCACTCTAGATTTATGTATACCAAACAGAGAACAGAAAGCTTTCTTGCACACGACTTTTTCACTCTGATCAACTCTGATTTTATAAATACATGAACATGATTTAGGTTTACTAGAGTCCTTGGGACGTTTTCTTATAATTGTATTCACTTTTATTAGGCCTCCGAGAAAAGTATCTTGTTTTTCTTTGTGTCCTATTTCATTAAATAAATTTAAAATTTTACTTTTTTCGCTGTCAAGTACTTTGGTAAAACATTTGTGCATACATTGACAATCAGGTCCTGTTACTCTTGGCATAACATGTTTTCCACGTAAACTTACATGGTCTACACCAGTTGCCTTCAAACTTTTACTCACATTTCGTCTCCATCTATAAATATTCTTACGTTTCTTCTTACCTTGAGTTCTGTTTTCTTCATCAGAATCTTCTATGATACGAACGCCGTCATCTTCGACATTGACATTATTATTGTTATTTGTTTCTAGGTCACTGTCATAAGCCAAAATATTACCTAGATTGCTATTAAAATCAGATAGGATAGATATATCAGACACTTCAATCGGCGAGAATGGATTGTAATCGGAATCATCAAAACTATTCGAAAACGTAGTCGGAACACTCGAAACACTCATTTTTATCACAAAATGTTACAACAAACTGGTTAGTACGTGTTAAAGTAGAAAGTAGGAACTAAACTACGTCTTGTATACATCTAACAACAACTAACTTGTAAAAGGTTAAAGTTAATAAAACTACAAATCTAATAAAACTAAAGGAACAATATTTAGAAAATAGAAATTAATTTATTATGATAACATTGATTTCATATCAGTGATAAGAACAGTCATTACAGTATGACCAATATTCGACGCAACAACAAGACATCTCCGGAGAAGTCTTGTTGTTGCAACAAAAAATAAAAGAGACATCTCCATTTGTATTATATCTCCGTATCTAACGATCGGATATGTCTGATTGTTGCACCAATCGATCGAGATTTTTTTTTTCAATAGAAAAAGTGAAAAAAGTAATTTTCGAAAAAAAGTGGAGATGTCTGGTTGTTGCACCCACCTCTTCAATTATTGTGCTGATATAAAATTAGCTATTAAGGACTGTGTAATTTATTACATATGCTGTTACTTATGTAGAACAGTAAAAAAGTATGCAAAATGTGATAAATGTTTATTGGCTTTAAAAGGTAAAATTGTGTATTAATATTTAAAATCTA